GCAGGATTGCTTACTTGCTTAAAGTTAAGCGCTATCTTAAGTTCTTTGCTTGATTAGGGACCATGGCCTATCCCTTGCTTCCAGAAGCATGCACCACAGATGGAAGATATTACTGTGCTTAAATGACTTTGTCTCCTTAGAAACATGATAACTCTTTTTAGTCATGCTATCTCCTTTTCAAACTAGACAATCTGAATCCTTTTAATTATTCCTTGTATAAATCCCATTTCCCAGCATGAATTTGATCTGTCCCTTTCTGGCTCTTTTCTAGTTTTCCTGACCTTTTACAAATGATGTAACCAAATCTGAATGTAATATACAAGATAAGAAGATATTACAGGTTTTTTAACAAGGCTGTCTAAATTAGGGGTTATTAAAATGTATATTTAAAATGTGTTTATATTGGAACTGCAATGCATTGTAAAAAGTAGATGCCACAAATGATTGATTCTTAATTTTATCTTATGTTTTTACAGTCTTCATGAGTAATTGCTTTTTATGTGTAATTATTGCAGGATGATTGGCCAAGGGTTCCCTTTTTGGATGATGATTGTTCTTTGGTGGACAAATTACAAAAAGATTATTCATTCAGTGCTATTTCAAAGTGTCTGTATGAAAACGTGCCACTGAGCATTAAACCCATCTCAGACTTGGAGAAGCGAATAAATGAATGCACCATGGAACTGAAGGAACATGCTGAAAAAATACTTTCTTTGGAACGCAGACAAGTGGAGATGGATAGTCATCTAATTTCACTAGAGCAAAGTAATAAGCAATGATTTTAGTTTTACTAATAGGAACAATAGCTGAATGGTGAATGAATTGATTTAATCCATTTTTCATTCCTAGGAATTTCTTTCAAGTTTCTTGAAGCAACAGGAAAACTGTACTGTCTAGTATCTGAAAAATATACATGTATATGCAGTAAAGATGCAGAATTGGATAGAATTCTAGCAGATAGAATATAATAACATTTGCACATTAGAAAATTTTTCATGTAGTGCTCAGAGGTCTACAGTACAGATTTACACAATGTTCTACATAAGGTATATCACTGTTGTCCTGGGAGACATTCATGCATAAGCTATATTATAGTAGAAGTAGCCTTGGGAGGCATTGTGCTTTTAAGAAGCACAGGTATTTTTGTGCTGCCCGCACTAACAGGAAAAGTACTAAATTAGCTATGCTGTTTGATGTATTTAGACTGTGGAGTCAAGGCTTTGTCAGTTACACATTTTCTTTTTCTACTTCAGGAGGTAAGGCTTACACATGCTTACAGTTTATCTATGCAAAACATACGCCTCAGATAAATTAATATAAAAAATAGAGATTTAACTGAAAATGTTGTTCCTAATGGACATAGTTGATTACAATCTTAATTTTGCACCTCCACTGGAAGACAGCATCTCCATCAATTCTTAATGTGTAATTATTGTACGATAACTGGCCAAGAGTTTCTTGGTGATTGTTCTTTGGTAGACAGATGATGTCAAATGGATAGTATGTTCATAATTTCAAAAGGTATATTTCATAGATTTCATAGACATCAGGGCTGGAAGGGACCTTGGAAGATCATCGAGTCCAGCCCCCCGCCCAAAGGGCAGGAAGTCAGCTGGGGTCATAGGATCCCAGCAAGATAAGCATCCAGTTTCATCTTGAAGGTGTTCAATGAAGGCGCTTGAACCACCTCCGGTGGCAGGCTGTTCCAGACCTTGGGGGCTCGGACAGTAAAGAAGTTCTTCCTTATGTCCAGCCTGAAACGATCTTGAAGTAGTTTGTGACCATTTGACCTCGTCATCCCTTGGGGCGCTCTGGTGAACAAACGTTCCCCCAGATGCTGGTGGTCACCCCTGATAAACTTGTAGGTGGCCATCAGATCACCCCTGAGCCTGCGCTTTTTCAGGCTAAAGAGCCCCAGGGCTCTCAGCCTGTCATCGTAGGGTCTGCTTCCCTGACCTCTGATCATGCGCGTGGCTCTTCTCTGGACTCTCAAGCTTCTCCACATCCTTTTTGAATTTTGTGGAGCCCAAAACTGGACACAGTACTCCAGCTGCGGCCTCACTAAGGCCGAGTACAGGGGGAGAATGACGTCCCGGGATTTGCTTGAGAGACGTCCCGGGATTTGCTTGAGACGTCCCGGGATTTGCTTGAGATCATCGAGTCTGACCCCCTGCATAGGCAGG